GGGGGGAAGGCTACCCAGTATTACAAGGCGTCTTCATACGTTCGCTATGACATAACTTCCCTTCGGGTCAGCCTTAAACGAGAACGCGGTCAGAGCGAGAGATTTGGGGGGGAGGGGAGGGAAGCAGGAGATCTAACCATTAGACAATTCTACTGCTCCCTCCTCTCGAGAGCTATCGAACGTCTAGATAGGGTGGCGGGGGGGGGGATCGAACGCGAAGCTTCCATTTCTCCCCCCTCCTTCCCTTTCTCTTCCCTCCCCCCCACTCAGGCCAACCGTACAAGCGCGCGCCGGCTGTCACGTGACCCACTCCCTCTCTTTCTTTCCCCCCCCCTCCGCACGTGCCACTTCCTTCCCCTCCCCGCGCGCGTCCTCGGCCGGGCCCTCTCCTAACCTGCGGTCAGCCCGTCTTGGCCTTGCATCCCGACGGGCAGCTCGCCATTTTCCAGGATACTGTAGCCCTCGTCGTTCTCGATGCCCGCGATTTCATTCTCTTGCTGGGCCAGGAAAGCGGCGGCTGGGTCTTCTTCGCCGCCCACCCCCAGTGCCCCGTTTCCCGCCACCGGCTGAGGGGCGCCGAAGAGATCGAACTCGGCCATCGAACGAAAAGAATCGGGGAGGAGCCAACCGAAGCGACGGTCCCAACGGACGAGCGGCCAAAAAAAAAAGAGACTACAAACCCGCCGGAGGCAACCGTTTAACGGATAGCAAGTAGTATTTCCGGCTTCCTGCAGCTAATAGTCCAGCAGTCAGCAGCCTTTTTCTCTTTTCCTTCCTCCACAACCCCCCATCCCGGGAAAGCTGCTAGAGTGATGGCCCAAATCCACCAACCAACCGAGGGGAGAGAAAGGCATAAGCCAATTAGTGTGCCCAGAAGGCGGGATTCTGCGCACGTGACCTTTACTCATTCGTCCGTGCGCTCTGAGGGAGAGGAGGAGGAGGGAACTGCTCGCGGGCGGGACGCGCTCGCTCTCTCTCCCCCTCCTCTCAACTCCCCCCCCCCCCCCGTCCATCCCCAGTAAAGCGGACTTCCCTGTTGGCATATTAAACGGAGGCATTGAGGCAAAAACCGGATTTATAACGTGAATGGTCTACGGTACATTCAATGAAAGGAGGAGCGCCAGAGTTCGTTCGAAAAGAAAACGCTTCTTTGCACACCTTTCTCTGAAAATGGGTCCTAGTAATTTACTGGCACTTAAATCACTAAGCAATTGTGGCTTTGCTGTAACAGAAAGAACGAGTACTACTACAAGGAGTATTCTTATCCTCTCTGGCCAGTCAGTCAGTTTATTACAGACAAGTACTAGGAACTCTCTGTGAGTACTTCTAAATCGATCTTCAGAGACAGTAAAGAAAATTTGAGACAAACTTAAAATGCATCTGTAAAACAATCTGGCTAGAATCTGTGAAGTCTAAAAGGAATATATGGGCTAGATGGTATCTGGATTTATATAAAGTGTGATTACAATTCACATTACAAAAATGTGTCTTACAATTTATGTCAAGTCAGATAATTATAAAATTACAACTAAAATATCTAAAATCACATACAATACCTCTGTAGCAGTAACTTGGCCCATTAAGGGTCTGGTCGATCTTTCTGTGTAACTTAATCACACAGCTCTAATAAATGGCAGTTCATCTGGCCAGTTTATCGCTAAATGTCTATGGAGATTCTCAGTCATCCAGGTCATGGTTGTCCCAAAGGTGCTTTTACAAGAGGCAACTGGACTTTCTAGTTTTTCTTTGAAGATGCTTCGCTTGTCCCATCCAAGAAGCTTCTTCAGCTCTGACTCCCCACCACCATCCAGTCAGAGCTGAAGAAGCTTCTTCGATGAGAAGCGAAATGTGTTCAAAGGAAAACCAGAAAGTCCAGTTGCCTCTTGAAAAAGCACCTTTGGGATCTGACCAGTTTGTTTTCCATGACAAGCAAAAACGTTAACTTTTTTTGCAACAGGACTTCGGCACTTCAAATGCTACAAAATCTGTAGAGATATTCCTTGTAAAGCTTATTCTAATGAAAAAGGTCCATACAGAGGTATTCGTTTTCTAGTTCTCCAGAATACAGTTCAAAACTTGGTAATGTCACAATATTAGAAAGTTGCCTTTGTATTCAGATACCGAACTCACTTGTTTTGCTTTACATTGATTTAGAAAGTCCTTTATTTGTTCTGAATCCATTTGTAATTGCAGGAATCACTTGTATAGTTTTTAAAGTTATAACTTATCAACTTGTCTTCCTAGAGCAGGAAGATCTTCCCTTTTAGTGCAAATTAGTATTTTAAGTTATGTATAGCAAAACATACCTGCTTTTTAAGTTGGATATCAAAGCAGGTGATAGTTCTTGATTGGCCTTTTCTGGGTTTTAAAGCTAAACAACTTTGGATACATTTAGTTCTTTTTTTTTTTTATTGAAAAAGTTTTACAAATACAAATTTTCCCATTCCCCCCCCCTTTCCCTCCCTAACCCTCCCTAGCCCTCCCCTCCTCCCATGACTTCCCCAAGGTGAAATCCAAATCCAAATCATATTATATCATACTTTGCCACCCTTCTATGCTCCCCCCTGTGTATTATACATTTCTACATGACATTAAACTATTCTACCCCCTATATACTATACATTTCTACACAACATTCAGCTAAAAGCTATCTAGTACTTCCTAGTTTGGTATTTATTCTGCACATAATCTATCCATTTCTTCCACTCCCATACATAAGTCTCTTGAGTCCGGTCTTTTAAGTATGGTGATATCTTCGCTATTTCTGCAAAACTGGCCACCTTCAAAGTCCATTCTTCAATAGTAGGCAAAACATCCCTTTTCCAATATTGACCAATCAGTAACCTAGCTGCTGTCACCATATACAATATCAATTTTGTTTCACCCATTGAAAAACCCTTAACTATGCCCAATAAAAACAATTGAGGAGAAAATTGGAGTTTTTTCTTCAGAACATTTTGAACCCTTCAGAACCCACCAAATTTTTATCCAGAAAGCCTTCACTTTCTTGCAAGTCCACCATATATGATAACACATTTAGTTCTTGAATGGGAAACTATGAGGGAATTCCAGGGCTGTAGGCTAGATTGGAAAGCTGGGGTTGGCTGATATATATTGCCATCACTCTAACCTCCCCCTCCCAGCAGATGCCTATACTGAATATCACACTGACTAGCCCTTCTTAGCATCTTCTTTCAGTTATCATTTCATTATAGTATATCCCCTGTTATAAAACAGTCACTTCCTATATTATTGTATACCAACAGGTATTAAAAGCATAGGTTTGGTAAAAAAATGGCAATCCTTTTTGTAGTGTAATCCTAGAAAATTATTAACCTTTGGGAGTACATCTCAGTAAAACTTCTTAACAAGTTCTTGTAACAAATTTTCATTTCCTCTTTCTTCAAAGAAATACAGCTTCAGTTCTCCACTCTATTATCTAGAAATCATTGAGCAATCATTAGTCGAATGACAGAAGTTTCCTATTTTTTTTAAGATCACAGAGGTCAATACCTAGCTTTCTTGGACAGTCACAAAGCTATAATTGTTCAACATGCTAAACCACAAACTAGTTAAACAACTTAGTTTTATGGTCCAGTATGAATTACAACCCCCCCCAAATGGGGTGAGTAATCATGATTCAATTAATAGTATTATTTAAACAGAGCCATTGTGTAAAAAGACTTAGCATGGTACACACACATACACCCCCTCTGTGGCCTACATTAAAATGCAGTTCTCTCTACTTTGATCATTCACACTAAGCTGCATTTTTTAAAAGTGATTTGGGAAGGAAAGGAAAGGAAAGGAAAGGAGGATCATTTGTCTTACATAACTATACACAAGGAATTTGGTGAAAGATAACTTATACTCTTTACATATATTTATTAATTTACAAACTTCTTTGTCTACTCTGCTATTACCTGAGGACCAACTCAATGCTACTTTGAAATAACAATTATTTTACTGCAACAATAGCAACAGCTTTAATTCCAAGTGCCTTTTCTTGAAAAATTGGCTCCTCTATTCTCCAAATCCTCTTTGTGGAAGACATTTACTATGAACCAATTGTTTTCCTTTCTTTGGTTGCAAAGGCAATGTGTGCAGGAAAACAGATTGCTGGATAAAGAAAATTGACCTCAGGTTTTACTGTTATTTAAAAATACTGTATATATTTTGTAACAAACATAGAATTGAGAGCAGGGCATAACCAAGGATAAAAAATGAATAACTTTTTAAATGCTGCTGAATTCAGCTCCCAGGATTTCTTAACCAGGGGCAATGTTGGTTGGAAGCTGCATAGCTCAACAATATCTGGATAGCAAAATGTTTCCCACTGTTGTTGATTTTTATTATTTTTGTGAACAGCTCTGCTAACTGGGTAGAAGAACCCCTAACATTACATTCTTCTTTTAAATCCTTGTTAGGAAAAGAGATGATGGTCATTTTTATTTTCATACAGAACATAGGAGTCTTAGCGTTTAAGAATATGTAAATCTAAATGATAACACCTTTAGAAGTTAACTATTACTGCTATTCCTCTTTGAACCTGTAACAAAATAGTGAAGAATGTTTGTGGACTTTAGAAGTTGCCACTGCAACAATTCCAAAATCTTAAGATTCTTCCCAAAGGTTAGGAATTTAGGGCATAAAAATGTGCACGGGTTACTGCTGTGCAATTTCACATAGTCAGGGTTTTAGATGAACTATGCAATGCTTCACTTGCTAGGCTGCAGTTGTAGGTCAAGCGAGAAGCCTGGCCTTTTGTGTCTGAACAAGCTGGTATCTAGGTTTTTATCCACTGTTTTAAAATATCTTCAAATATTTAACATAAAAATCACAGAATGAAACATGTTAACAGCTATATTAGTATTGCATAGGATTTCTAGCTGATTATTTTATGCTTCTAACCCTGGAGAAGTGCCATATCCCCCTCCTATATTCTCATCCTAATTACATTACGTACATGATAAAGGGACAAAAGGAAGTGTCCATCTATGTATCTGTAAACTGCATTTCAGTCATTCTTTATTGCTACAGATTGTTTCATTTTGGTTTCACAAATTAATTGACTACAGTTTTTTGGAGGACCTTGCATGGCAACTTAGCCATGCAGCAAGCAGGACAATCAAGAGCTTCTGGAGGCTCAGCTAAAGTCCTCCATTCCCCAGTGCTTTGGTCTAACATATATGCTTGCCGATTGATAGAATACTCCTCTGGACGTTTGTCACCTGGACAAATAAGTCCACCACATACAAACACTTTGTTATTCCCAATAGAACACACTGCATGTGACAGATCCAAACTATAGTTATGTGGCAGCAGAGGCACAAGGCTTGAGGTTTTGCTAACTTTAATCTTCTGCAGATTTATTTCCATGCTCTCTTTGTGGCTCTGTATACTCAAAATGTTCTCATGTGGAAAAGACAACAAGGGCTTGTGGTTGAATTGAATGGGAAAAGTGATATACTGGACCACGTTCCGGGTCTCTGTGTCAAAGCAGTCCAGCACACCTACTCGTGAGAAGCGCCCATTTACCAGACATCTCCCTGTCACAATATAAATAGTCTTGTCTCCCTTGGTGATCAGTGCAGTTGCATCCATAGGTATACTCATCTTCCCAGCAAGAGTCCATTTCTCTTTGCCTTCATCGTACTTGTAGATACTGGAAATGTACCTTCTTGGGGCCGTGCTACCTCCTATAGAGTACACTGCGCCTCCACAAGTCACCATGGTATGGAAAACAAGACCAACTGGCAGATCTGGAAGTTTGATCCATGTGTTGGTATCCATATCATACTTCCAGGCAGTCTTCAGTCCAGAGATCTGCTCAGTAGTTCCTCCAGAGACATAAATGAATTTCCCCAGTGAGGCTGCACTGAGCGCGGCTGCTCTGTAAGGCATTTCTGTGAGTTTCATCCAGATATTCTCTCCAATTACATATGCAAACACTTCATTGTTGAATTTACCCTGTTCTTTTTGTCCCCCTAAGATTACTACTGAGTCCACTAATGCCCCCTTCCTTTGTTGAAGCATCAAACTTTGAGGATTTCCTTGTTTACGTTCACTCAACACAGCTTCTATCCGGGACAGAGGTCCAGTGTGGTCTGCAAAGAGCAACACTTCCCGACAGGCTGCGAGTAGTGTTTTGGTAGAAACTGCTGTTAAACGTATATAGGTAAAGCACTTTTTAAAATGCTTCTCCCTTTCATTCTTTTTATATTTTATCCACTGAAGGAGAGCGAGAAAGATCTGATCTTCGTTTTGCACATGAAGATTCTCCTCTTTAAGCAATCTGCTGAAGACATGATAAGGGCATTGCATAAATTCTGATATGCCCTGAGGCCCTACCCAATAATGAAAGTTGTCTCGTATCCCATCATAGGCAGCATTCCTTATGTCCTTCAGGTCATATGTAGTGGCTATCAGAATGTACTGGAGGCAGTTCTCCATTTTGAGGGACCGGAGGAGGAAATCAGAGCAGTGACTTCTTAAAGTTTGGGAACTGAAGTACTTTGCTCCCTTCAGCAGTTCCTCCACATTCTTCTCTGAAATCACAATCCTCCCAGTATAGAAATAATCAAGCAATTCCTCCATTAAGGCCGGGCTCATGAATTTCGCATCAATGATAATAAAGAGTTCATCATCTGCTTTCATATCATTGCTGGATATCAAACTCCTTATATGGGAAGACATCGCTGCTAAGACGTTGAGGTGAGCATAGAAGACAGTCTGGTCCACACTGAGAGCCACATCACAAAATTCCTTGTTCTTTCTTTGTTTATTAAGGGCCTGTACCATAAAACTGTTGTGGTTCTTTTCTGTAAACTGCATCTTCATGTTTTGAGCTGGGTCAAGGTTGTCTGAAGTTGAGGATGATGGTAAAAGCCTATATTCTCTTGGCTTGAAAACTTCACTCTGAATGCAGTGGAGTGATGTCAGTAGATGTAGATACCAGGTCACAATTACCTCTGACCTAAACTGAAAACAGCCTTTTGAAATTTGTAAAAGGTTCTGCGCAGCATTTGGATAATATAGGAATGTTACTTCAGATCCAGTATGAATACAGTCACTGTAGGTGGCTTCCTAAAGACGTTGGGCCTTTTTCTTCTCACTGTGGCTGTGCAGCTTCAGGAAAATAAGAGCTAACAACAAGTACAGCAAGAACACTCACTATAAATCAGAGCCTCTTCCTACTTCAAATCTCAATACTGCTCCCTTCCAGCTTTGCTACAAAAAGAGTAAAACTTCTAATCTTAAGAGGGTCAATTTCTTACATCACCTAGAAAAGTTTTCCTCAGTTTTATATTCTTCTGCATGTTTGGATCACAAATGTCACAATTCCCAGTCAATTTGAATGGAAATTTGATTAATTAATCTGTTTTTCCTTTCCCTAAAGGGTAAATGGGAAGAAAGAAATAAAATAAGAAAACAGTTGAAGTAAATTCTGAAAACATTGAAATAATTCAAAGAATTTGGCTGCAGAAGTGCTAAATACAATCCCTGAAGATAATGGTTTTGTGCTTGGGAACAATACAGAAGACTCCCTCACTAGGTTCTGTAATTGTAGTCAGCATTTGAAGATTAGAAATATATATTTTCATCACAATATTCTCAGTGTATCAGCTCATTTTAATGATAAAGTTTTGTTGTGTAGAACAGATACGTACTTTTAAATATTTTTTTCATTTGCAACACTGATGAATTTAGAGTTCAAAAAATTTGGTCCAACCTTTTCAATTATTTGCGGAAAAGTAGTAATTTTTCAGATTTTCAACATAGGCATAGTACAGTCCTGTTACGTTTATTGGATATTACCTACATGAAACATCAGTTGAAATTTCTGAATACTCAAGAAAAAACACACCTAAGCACATTGCACTAGCAGAATCATGGTATTATATAGTATAATCAAGGTATTGATAACTGTCTGGACCTGATTTAATTTAGGAAGGATTACAGCTGGTGTTCTGGGTGCAATGTTGTTTGGGCTTGGAAGCTTAGCCGAGGGAGACCTGTTTAAATATTTCGATAAAAGACCAGCAGGAACTCCAGGGCTTTAAGTTAGAATGAGAGGTAAAAAAAAAAAAACCCAAGGAATAACAGTAAACAATTTATTGCACTTTCTACCAGACTGACTCTGGAGAATTTGTATTCATTTCACTTAGATTATTTCATCACAAATCACAAAAAATTGTTTTCCTGTCTCACAGTTGCTAAATTGCTCTTTTCTAAGAATTCTGACTTTGCGCTCTGCAGAGTGAACAATGCCCATTCCCAGATCTAAATAACTGCTGACTTGCTTCCTAAATCTTTCACTAACTTCAATAACCTTTCCTTCCTTAGGATTTGCTTTATCATTTTTTTGTGTTTTTTATTACTTCAGCTCTTTTGCTTCTATTAGCCCTGGTGGTCTTTAGCTCCCCCCAGCTATTTTTCATTCATTCCTTCTAAATCAGATTGGTAGCAGAGCCTTGGAACTCTGCTGTTTTACTAGCAATTAGTCTTAAGACCAACAAATGAGCAATTGTTTCAGAGCCTTTTTTCTGAGATACAGTATTTTTCCATAAAAACACTAGATTTTAATCCACAGAATGTTAGTTACAGTAGTGGGTTCCACTTACCTTCGCTACTGGTTTGGAACCGGGAGTGTGCATGTATGCTCGCTTCGCTCGCAGCGCTTCTGCACATGCGCATAGCATCCATGGTGACAGATGGGCGGAACTTCCCCCCGCCGCCACTACCAGTTTGCCCAAACCAGGGTGAACCAGTAGAATCCCACCACTGGTTAGTTGTTATATATTTGCTAAATGTGAATGTTAGTAAATGATTTTCTTTTGTTATTTACCATCATCATTACTACTAATTTATTAAATTTGCATCCTCAATGCCTTAAATTTTAGAATTCCGCTTCCCAAAATAGGGACAATTAGAAACATCTGCTTTCAATGCAATATTCTCAATGGTTGTCAGTTTGAATAGTAAATTATTTTGTTATGTTAGATAAATATTTCTTTAAAAACTCAGAAAATAAATTTGCTATTATTTATTTTTTTTATTTATTTATTTTTATTTTTATTTTTAATTTGATTTATATGCCGCCCTTCTCCGAAGACTCAGGGCGGCTTACAATGTGCTCAGCAATACAATTTACATCTCTTTGTCCTGTTTTGAGTTTCCCTGTAATAATTGTATCATGATTTTTAGGGCTAAAACCTAATTGTGGAACTAAGCCCCATTAAGGTGTGTTTTTAAATGGACGTGCACATAGTTGTTCACAAAGACATTATTGTTGATTCTTGTGCTAGTATTTGGGGCTTGGCTAATTAATTTTCCCTACCTTCTGCTTTTGCGTTTATTAATAACAATGTGGTCTGGAGACAAAAATGAGAAAAAATATTAGTTCTGTAAAGCTAAGTTTCATCTGTATAGGGTATTTTGCTACAGAATTAAATGTGCTTGTGTAGACGGTGCCTTTTATTCCCTCCTGGTCCACAAATCTTACTTTAACATTGTTTCTCCAGGACTTCCCTTTTGTTAAGATGTTACACTACTTTGGTAAGAAAACACTGTAAGAACATCTGGAGAGTGAGTCAACCACAAAACTGGTCATCCTCCCACATCATTTTCAGTTTAACTGAAAAGGATTCAAGAAGCTGTGTACAGTGCTGTCTAATTAAGAGTATAGAGAACAAAAGCTGATCCAAAAGAGAAAGAAAGACAATGCTTCAACGTTAGGGAAGAAATCTTATGAGTCACGCAAATAGAATATATTTTACCTAATTAAAGAATCTAGGGAACAGCTAGTAAAATTCCTCAGATAGCAAAAGTTTGGGGACAAAAATATATTTCTGTACTAGTTATGTTCACAAACATACCCTGCCATAAACCATAATTTGTGAAGCTATAGTAACTGTGTAGAGAATGGCTAATGTAGAGTGTCATGGAGGGGTGTTTCAGCCGTCCCCACTAAAGCTTTTGATCCTGCCTCTTCAGATTTAACATGGGACAGCTTTTGATTGTGAGTTATATGTTTCCTTTTTCCTATTGCCACTCAAGCACATGTTGTTATGAATGTTGAAGCTGGTCTTTGAGTTTTGATGTTTGAGTGAAATGAACTTTTTTTTCAATCAAAAATTAGAATGTTATTCATCTCTTCATTTTTAATCATCTAGTAGTAGTAGCAACCTTAACATAGATGCCCAAAGTGTATATTCAGCTGGTTATCCACTAAAAATAAGAGTTTGTAAAAATCACAAACTTCATTAAAAACATGATGGAAGATGAAAGATATATATATATACTGTTCTGAATATGACTCTCTCAGATAGCTGGGCATTATTTAAAAAATCAAAAAGAAGTGAAACTGAAATAGCTATCACAGAACTTTACATGTAATCTGTATGATAACTATTTGGCTGCAAAGTGGCATTTATTAATAACTAAGCCAGAGATTGTGATGTTTTCTGAAGTTATGGTAACTAAAGCACTCTCTTCTTTAAAAATTGAAATTCATTCGCATACTATTTTAGAGAATGATGGAAAAAAAGGAACTTGCTTCCATGCGTTTGCATGACTCTGATTTACTGCAATTAGAGAACAGTAATTTATAGAGACAGTAAAATTTCTCAACTGTATAGGGAATGTTGTTAATCAAGTTCTATTATCATTTCTCTTACCCAACCGACATTTAGTAATTGCAAAATTACTAATTTCTTAACAAAAATATTTCAATCTCTAACTAACATATAGTACAAAATTTAATTGCCTTCATTGCTCGATGGATTTGTTTCCAAATTCAGGTACTCAGGGTTCCCTAGCAAAAGATGATGAGAGCTTTAGTAGAATCCCTCTTATATTGCTATAATTTACTATAATTTTAGTTTGGGATTATAGAGGGATTTCTGTGAGGGAAGAATATGGCATAAAATATGGTAAATTTACCGTTTTTTGGTAATCTTGACTCAGTGTTGACTCCTGACGAGTGCCTGGTCAAGTTTTTTGGGCAAAGATTTTTGCAAATAGTTTGCCATTGCTTCCTTCCTAGGGCCAAGAGAGAATGACTGGCCCAAGGTCATTTAGCTGGTTTCATGCCTAAAATAGAACTCATGGTCTCCCAGTTTCTACCCTGATGCCTTAACTACTACATCAAACTGGCTCTTTACATTGGTGGAATGATGATGGTGTGGAGGGTATGTATGGATGTATATGTGTACCTATGCATATGTATGGTGCATATATGCAGAGCAGCAATAAAACAAAAATAAGACAAAAATATAGGGGGGCAGATCAGTGAGCAATAATTTTAGTTCATTATTTTGCCATTTTAAAACGAAGCAGGTTTCAATTTAATCATTGGCTGAATGGGTGATGTTTTGAAGATTACCATGAAAACTGCATCATGTGGTTACATAGTACTACAGGACTGGACAGCAGCTGAAAAGAGAATGTCAATAGCATTCTGTCATTTATCACATCAACAGTTATTTACCTTTAATTATCTGTATTCAAAATTCAGTTTTAAATTTTGTATTTATGTGTTTTTATCCTGTGGCTGTTCACCACCCTGAGTCCTTCGGGAGTAGGGCGGTATACAAATCAAATAAACTAAACTAAACTAAACTGTAAGCTACCATAAAACCACCTGTTTCCCTGCTTTCTCTAGAAGTGGAGATTTGGGGCAAATCCTTCAAGTCCAGTGTTATTTTGGGGAGTTCAGATTCTGATTTACTAAATCTCATTCTATTGAAAACTATTTTTTCATCAGATGACAACTGGAAATACTGGGTGGCTTTATTGGTTTATTTTATATTTCTATGAAGGCCATTCTTTTCAATTCTTTTTTCCTGGATACCTATGTGGAAAAACTACAGTACTACACTATAATTGAATAGGAATAGTGATACTCTGGTCTCCATCTCTATATCAATTTCCATGGCTGT